TTTTTTTTTTTTTTTTTTTATATATATATATATATATATATATATATATATATATATATATATATATATATATATATATATATATATATATATATATATATATATATATATATACATACATATACCACAGAGGGGTGAATAATTTTGACTTCAACTTTATATATAATAACTGCACAACAAAGACAATAAATGTCAAACCTGTCAAGCACATTGACAGTCGAGGAAAGTACATCTCTTATCTTTACCTAGGAATTCCAGTCATTTTACAGAACGAGGAATTCTGCAGAGCATAAATGATTGGGTGTTTTTTCACCTCAACAATGAGACAGTTATGAAACATGTAAACGAGTGTTGTCCATGTGACTGTTTTTGAGTAAGTTATTTCTCTGCTAAACCTGTCATGTGATCTTCTGCTGAAATGTCTCTCCATCTGATCAGCTGATATTTTTCATAAGGGGGTAAAATCATATCTTGGCTATTTGCAATTCTGAAAGTACTGCTGTCTTCATTCACTTATTTCTTCCATGACATTTTCTAAATACAGAACATATATTGGCAATGGTTGATCTTCATATTAATATTTTGCACACAAACAACCCGATTGTTTTCTTCTCAGAATTGCGACACAAGTCTGCTACAGCATATACATAATACATAGAACAGTGTGAAAATTAGTACCAGCACAGAACTGCTATCATCCCCAGATGAATGGACAGACTGAAAGTAAGATCCAGGAGGCGAGGCGATTCTTACGATCTTTGTGCCGCGGTCATCAAAACTCCTGGAGCCAGTTCCTGGGCTGGACCGAGTGTGCGTAAAACTCCTTGTGCCATCTCGCCACTAGACTCACACCCCTCCAGAGCATACTTGGTTTCCAGCCTCCCCTGCCTCCATGGTCGTGGGAACCACCTGACATCCTGGCCATCGACTGCGGGTTCTGAGAGAGCAAGGAGGTCTGGGACTCAGCTCATCACCATCTCCAGCGAGCTGTACGGAGACAGAAAAATGACACAGATCAACGTCGTTCTAATACGCTTAACTTCGAGGTTTGCCAGAGCATCTAGCTGTCTACTTGGCGTATGCGTCTCCGACAGCCCTGTAAAAGGCTGAGTTCCAGCTTCATTGGTCCCTTCCCTATCATCGAGTGGTTCAACTCTGTAACCCAGAGTACAAGATACACCCTTCCTTTAACATGTCCTTCTAAAACCCCTCCTCTCTCCACAGAACCTGTTCCTGCAGAAGAGCCCCCTCCTCCTCCTATCTTGGTTGAAGAGGTTCATTTATTCTGTAAAGGTGATCATCAGATCTAGATGGCGTGGGGGTAGATTGGAATATCTAATTCGGCTTAGTCCCTTTATTAATCCGGGGTCGCCACAGCAGAATGAACTGCCAACTTATCCAGCAAGTTTTTACGCAGCAGATGCCCTTCCAGCCCCAACCCATTTCTGGGAAAGAAATATCTAGTTAATTAGGCAAATTAGGGTAACTAGGCAATTCATTGTATAATTTGTTCTGGAGACAATTCAAAACTATTATTGCTTAAAGGGGTTAATAATATTGACCTTATTATTTTTAAAACTGCTTTTATTCTAACGAAAAAAAAAAGACTTTCTTCAGAAGAAAAAAATATTGTTGGAAATACAGAAAAATTCCTGAATCTGTTCAACATCATTCGGTAAATATTTGAAAAAAGAAAAAAACAAAAAACTAAAGTGGGAATAATTTTGACTTCAACTTTATATACAATAACTGCACAGCAAAGACAATAAATGTCAAACCTGTCAAGCACATCAGCAGTCGAGGAAAGTACATCTCTTATCTTTATCTAGGAATTCCAGTCATTTTACATCTTAATTTCTCAAAGAAATGCAAACTTGTCACCGATGTCCTGGAAATATTTGGTATTGTAAGAGTCTAAATTATCAAATGCATTTGTTTACATGGAAAAGCATGTCTTTCACCAAAGAAGGTCCATACTGACTCCAAAGACAGATACTGATGAGATCAGGGCCTGGTATGTGGCCACATGTTGATTGGTCAGTTTTAATGTCTCAGCATTTAGGCTTTAATCACATGGTCAAGAAAGATAGAAAAAAAGGTGTAAAACTTTGCTCTGTCTTTTTTTCCTGGCCTTTCTTTTCCTGGTCTGCTTCTCTCCTGCTCTGCTCCTCTCCTCCTCTGGAGTCTTCTCTGACTCTACTGCAATCAGGCTAACTTCTGGGTCTGCTCTCTTTGTCTCTCTCTTTCCCTTATCGTGTCTCTTCTTCTACCTCTGGTAACTTTAATATTACATTTAAGCTCTGTACAGTTTATATTATATGTTTTATCATTTCATATTTAATTATATTATACAGTTATTTTGTAATTAATTCAGTTGTTGCATTTTAAAAATGTGCTTGCATATACTGTGTGCAGTTTGGGGGTAAAAAAGGGGGTATCACCTTATTTTGATGGTTCCTTTAACGCATTATGTTGAATTTAAGTTACAATGCATCTACATGCCAACTAGTTCTCATTAGATTATAAGTAGACTACTGGGTTATTATTAGTGTTAGTTAGACATGTACTTCCATAGTTTCTTATAGTCAGTTAAATGTGTTGAAGGAGCAGAATCAACAGATATTAAGCAGACAGTCTACTAATACTCAAATGAGAAGTATTTGGCATGTAGTTGCAATGGAACTTCCAAAATGTGCAATAGAGACCCTTAAAATAAAGTCTTACCAACATAACAAACTTTGACATTTTTAAAATATTTTTTTATTTGTTTATTTTTTTAAATAAGTAATATTTTACTTATTTTTACCCAACACTGATATGTTGAATGCTAGTGTTAAATATGAACAGCAAAGTATTAAAAACAAGGGTCAAACTTTATTTTAGTGTACAGTTCATGCAATTAACAAATACAGTATGTTTAGCTCAAACTACTTATTAGATGCTTATCAGCGTCAGAGGGCGGGGCCTCAGGTTTGAAATCTCCCGGGTTTGCGCGTGCACGTGAATAACTTGGTTTTGTTCGTACGTCATGGCGAAACACCTAATGACTCGGTATCAAGGCGACTCGTTTGAAGCACTATGAGTCGACTCTTTTATAGATGAATCAACCGTTTTAAACACTGTACACTAACAGATTTAAGCCTTAGCTGGATACTTCACTTCACTTAGAGCTGTGTTACACACTACATGGAGGGGAATTTTCAAAAACCCATAATATGGGCTCTTTAACCGTCCTTATTCCTTGCAGTATGGATGATGATTTGAGATGCTAACTGAATGCACACACCAGATGAGTAGAGGAGAAGACAGAATGATGAAGCACACATCAGATGAGTTGAGGAGAAGACAACGATGAAGCACACACCTCCGACTGGATACGGGGCTGACTGGACAAACTGGAGATAAAACAGAGAACAGGTAAGTTTCTGAATGATAGATTGCTGATAATGAATATGTGGAGAGTATTCGTTATGAGTCCGCTTCGTATGAACGAGCCCGGACAAAGAGTGGTGTGAGGTGTGTGCTTATATTGTCTCACGGTGATGAGGTGCAGCTGTGCATGATTGAAACTCAGGTCATAATGGGCATTGTGTGAAATTGGTGGGAGAGCCTGGCCAATCTGTGACAATATCTCAGATAATAACAGACCATTAATATGCATATAATATACAATAGGCTTGTATGAATGGTTGGAATTATTACTTAAAGTATTTTTTTAAATACAGTTATTTCTAGTCAGACCTCATTATTAATAATGTGATGACACCTAGTGGTTATCTTCATCTAAGCAGTCTAACATGTAAATATCTCCATCATTGTGATAAACAAGTCATAAAGATGCTTCAGCAGGGGCGGACTGGGACAAAACAAATCAGCCCTGACACTGCAGCCACCCCAGCTCACATTACCACACCAACATAGGCCCACCGACGGACACACACATTCACTACCTACTTAGGTGTACAGATGATGAAATAATTTAAGCACCCTATGTAATAGATATTAAAACATTTAATGTATGTTACTGGAACAAAAACAACCCATTTATAACAAATTTATATATACAGTAAAACATGCAGTCTGTATACCCTAAATCACACGTAATCTGCTGATAATGACATTTTCAAATGTACAGGAGTTAAGCTTACAGATGTTAAACATGGTACGTGGTACAATCCCACCATACAGTAATGATTAGATTAAACAAAGCTAGACAAAGAACAGTGAGAACATTAGTGTGTGGCTATACAGTATACTCATCCATCCATTCCTGTCTTGGGGTTGAAAAAAAAAACAAAAACTTTTCATTCCACTTCCAATGTTTACTACTCTATATAAAAATGTGGTAAAGCATGGTAAAAATAAGGCGAGGATTTTTCTTTTTCTGAATCGCTTATTTAATTTGTTGATTGGGTTAGTGGAAGTGACTGGGCGGGTCAATCTGGGCTTTTTAAAATACTATTGGTTGAATTTAGGAAAAGGAGAAGAGTGGGTCAGTTGATCGGGCAGTCAGTCAGTCGACAGCGGCCTCTGGTGGACGTATGTGAGAACAGCAGGTGTGAATGGTACTCGTGAGAAAAATTTGAGATCTCAATAAGCGTACACAGTAACCTCTAGTGGATTCGCAAAAACTGCAAAAAAAAAAAAAAAAAACATAGCTCCTGGCACGTATTTACCGGTTTCCAGAACTATATATAGAGGTATGTTTTCAAAATGAGCCTTTGTTGATTTAAAATCTGTAAAATTTATTTTCTTGTAAAATCAGTCTGATATTATAATGTGAATACATATGTTGGTTTGTGTTGATCATAAAAATTTTACAATAACAAAAAACACCAAATGATCATTTCTGAACATTCGTACAAACCAGGATTCAAACTCAGGATGCCCGCAGAGCACTGTGTACTGACGCACTGTCCACTAGGCTGTAGTGTAGAGCTGTGAACCTACACTGGTCTCTATGTTCGGTTAGGTTACGATTATCATGCCATTGATTCAGTTCAATTTGATATTTCGGTGGATTGACAGTGCTTTTTATACACAACACAAACATTTAGCAAATAATTTGAACAAATATAAATATCCAGCTCAATTTCTGATCCTTGTCTTGTTCTCTTACACCCCTTTGATTGGTCACACACTCAACAAAAACGGTTGCAATTGGCTCTTGCACACTGCGCTCTTCACAGATGAGTGACAGTGATAAGCTGCAGGCGGCAGCGGCGATCACAGCTGATCCATGATACCCACGGTGGAAAAAACTCAGGCACGTGCTCGTGTCTGTATTCAGATGTAATGCTGTAAAACAGCCAAGAGGAGAAGAAAAGTCCTGCCAGCAGGTCAAATGGGCCACTGTGTGTGTTTGTGTGTGTGAGAGAGAGAGAAATGGAGTACTTTCATTCTTTCAATTGCAGTGAAATAGGGGCATCTAATATAAATGTCAGTGAAAGAATGATCCAGCAAACGTACACGCAGTGAAATTGTGCACAGTTTCTGAGATTTAAGTAGTTGGAGCGTTGTAAATACTTGCGCTCGCCTCCCTTACGACCGAGCGCAAATGAGATAAATGACGTCAGTACATAATAACCGGTTATGATTATTACTGAACCGATACCGAATTGTCCGTGTCTACATCGCGGTGCACCGAAGAAACAATTAATTTTGACACCCCTACTGTGGTGACTGAGTTTTTCTTTCCGACCTTGTCAATATAACACAGATTCACCAAGTCTTGAAATGCTTTTGAAATGCCACAATCCTTTTGAATCACTTTAGTCATGTGACCTGGGTGTTTCGCAACACTTTGTGGCAATGTTTCGAAATATGTAAACATTTTGGAAAATGTGTTGAAATACCAGTTTCACCTTGGTCATCCCTACATTTAGATCCCCACCTCCGTTTTCATCCTCCAGTTCGTAAAAGTTGGAGTGATTCGGTAATACTGTGGCAACATGGTAATATCACTACTCACCATACAGCTATATAATTTGCAGATTTTTTTAAATAATAAATTCAAATACTCCACAATTGATGCCAAATCCTACTGACTCTGGTTAACTTCTGAGATAAGAGACTGGGCATTGCATGCATGCACATTTTTCTGTATGAGCCACTTGCAAGACTGGCTTGAATACAGCCGGTGGGTGGGTTTTATTTCTATTTCTATTGCGTGTTACAGTTTAGACACTTTCAGTTTTTCTTATTCACTTCACACCTTCAGACAAAGACTGACAGCCTCTGCTGTGCCAAAACAAACTAAAACTGCAGAACACATGATGGCTTCAGTATATAAAGGTGAGTATAAATTAAATAACATCAAACCTCTGAACATATTTGCAACTTAAATGATGTTAAAGATTAAGAAGGAAATACATGTTTTAAATCAAATCAACATTGAAGCATTATCAAATCAATCTACAACAGGATTCAGTGCCAGTATTTTATTATCAGTGTTGCATGCCTGATCTATAACGAAATATTGTCTGTGATGTATCATTTGGTAAAATAAGGTGAAGACCAATTTTCATTAGTGTGGATAATTAAGCAAAATCATTTGGGTTTTGGTTTCTGTCAGTCAGAGAATATCTGAAATCAACTTCAAAACTGTCAATAAAACAACTCCACTAACAACACCATCCTTTATGCATGCATTATCGCTCACTTTGTCAACTTTAAATTTGGATTCTGAGTTAGTTGAACCTCATTGAATGGCTGCAGATGCACTCATAAGCTGACATTTGTTGATGCAAGTTGACGCCACATCCTATTAACACCAATTAACATCCCATTATGCGCAAATTTATCAATGCACCATTTAGGTCATCATTATAGTGATCAGTGTTTGTTTAAAATGGACTTCCAAGCCTTGACGTCTTTACATTAGATTTTATTTTGCTGCTGCTGTTTACTAAGTAAAAAAGCCAAGAGGGAATTTGATCTGGTGATTTTGTTGAAACTGTTGGCAATGTAGGTATCATCTAGTTGGCTATTGTATAGTAAAGCATAAATGTTACCTTAAATAAAATTGTGCTTTTGTTCTAAAATACATGGCAGACAATATATGAAAAAATAAATGTGCAAGTCGTGCAACTCTCAGTTAAAAATGTTTTGTTGTTTTAGTGTTGATTCAAGTTTTTTCTAATCAGGAATGTTGTGCTGTAAATCATGCGATCAGTTCCCGCAGTGTTGAAATAATGTTGTTGTTTTCTTTTACATTTCTAAACCGGTGATAAATGAGATGTTGTCAGAATTTGAAAGCTTTGTGAGCAGCTAACAGGCTCCGTCACATTCCTTGTCTTTTAATAGATTTTGTCAAAACAGTGATAAGATCTCCTATACATACAGTCAGGTCCATAAATATTTGGACATCGCCACAATTGTACTGTAACATCCATGACTCTTTATGCCAACACAATTAAATGAACAAGATGTGCTTCAACTGCAGACCGTCGGCTTTAATTTGAGGGTATTTACATCCAAACCAGGTGAATGCTGTAGGAATTACAAAAGTTTGCATATGTGCTTCCCACTTGTTAAGGGTCCAAAAATAATTGGACAGAATAATAATGAGAAAACTTTCACTTTTTAATACTTGGTTGCAAATCCCTCAATTACAGCCTGGTGTTTGGAACGCATAGGCATCGACAGATGCTGGGTTTCATTCCTGGTGATGCTCTGGTGATGGCCTCTACACCAACTGTCTTTAGTCTCTGCTAGTTCTTGGGGCATTTTCCATTCAGTTTTGTTTTCAGCAAGTTAAATGCAAGCTAAATCACATTCAGGTCAGGTGATTTACTTGGCCATTGCATTACATTCCACTTCTTCCTCTTCAAGAACTCTTTCTGGTTGTTCAAAACTCTTTTGCCGTAAGCTTTGGGTCATTCTCCATCTGCATTGTGAAGCCCCGTCCATGAGTTCTGTAGGATTTGGCAGAATAGGAGCAGATGATATTGCCTGAAACGCTTCAGAATCCATCCTGCTGCTTTTGTCAGCAGTCAAATCATTAATAAATGCAAGAGAATCAGATGTATTGACAGACATACATGCCCATGCCATGTCACTATTACCACCATGCTTCATGAACAGTTCTTTTCTTTCTCTCTTCTCTGGTACAAGTTGATCTTGATTTCATCTGGTCATAGGATGTTTTTCCAGCACTGTGAAGGCTTTTTTAAAACTCTAATCTGGCCTTCCTGTTTTTGAGGCTCACCAATGGTTTACATCTTGTGGTGAACTCTCTGTATTCACTCTAGAAGTGCTGTAGACTTTTCTTGAATTTTGACTCTGATAAAAATGATTGTCTACCACACTTGTTTCCGTGGTCTTCTGGGTGTTTTGGTGTTGCTGAGCTTAAGAATGTTCCAAACAGTTGTTTTGGCCGCACCTAATGTTTCTGCTATCTCTCTGTTGGGTTTGTTTTGTTTTTTCAGCCTAATGATGGCTTGCTTGACTTACGGTGACAGCTTTTTGGATCTCATGTTGAGAGTTGACAGTAACAGACTCCAAATGCAAATAGCACAGTTGAAATGAACCCTGGACTTTTTATCTGCTTATTTTAATTGGGATAATAAGGGAATAGCACACACATGGCCATAGAACAGCTGATAAGCCAATTGTCCTATTACTTTTGGACCCTTAACAAGTGGGAAGCACATATGCAAACTGTTGTAATTCCTACAGCGTTCACCTGATTTGGATGTAAATACCCTTAAATTAAAGCTGAAAGGTTACAGTTAAAGCACATATTCAATTCATTGCAAATCCATTGTGTTGGTGTATACAGCCAAAAATGTTAGCATTGTGTCGATGTCCGAATATTTATGGACCTAACTGTATATATGCTCAAAGTGAAAATATAAATAAATAATATATATATATATATATATATATATATATATATATATATATATATATATATTGTTTATTTATATATTCACTTAGAACATATATAGAGATAGATAGATATATATAT